ACATATCTCCGACACTTTATATACAGCTGTTTCTGTTCAGCAGTGAATCGCTGTTCATTAGTGCATCACTTAGCTGAGCAAGAGCCCACTGGGGTGTGCAAAATGCCTCCTGCAGCTACCCAAGTGTCTGTGAAGAGCTGTGCCTTGCGAAGTGAGTTCAGGATTTGTCAGAGGTTTTGCAGGCTGCAGTGGCTTTTAGGAATGGACTGAAAGAGTTAACTAGATGCAGCTCTGCTCTTGGAGAACTACAGGATCTCCATGCTAAAGTTCCCTTGCTACTGTGCCCAAGAGCATGTCGGGATGAGCGCAGTTATCAACTGATTTGCAGATAAGTCACAAAAAAAATCACAGCTATTCTCAGTACCTGTCTAGACGCTATTAGTACTTGCAGATACTGTCATGGCGCTTGGGCACAATATTAAAACAAACTCTCCCCTTTGCTGCACCATCCCTAGAACGATCACGCTGCTATTTAAAAAAGGTCCAAAAAGAAGGCACATCTGCTTCGCGGGTTGGGTGGGCCTAAGCCTTTCTTAGTTACTAGAATTACATGTTTCAACCCACAACATGGAAAGAGACTCCAATGAATGGGAGAAAGGGGTCTGGAGAGCGGCTCAGGTTTGATCGGGTGCAGAAGTGGTGTAGTTTGAAACACAAACTAAAGCGTTCCAGCTGCAAGTCAAACCCAGGAATGCATCATGCAAGATCTTATTTTTCTGTAGGGCTGGTAACATGAGCATTCAAATCATTCACTGCCTTTGAAGCCTGTGAAATCCATAATGACCACAAAGTGAACATGTAGCAACTACATTTCAATTACCAAAGGCTGGTCAAGTACCTGGCTTTATTCTCTCCAGTAACAAAACTCCCATCGACTTCAAAGGGGCTGGGATTTACTCCACAGTGCAAGTGCTGGGTCCAGTGAAATTGGAGATGTAACTCTGGGACGAGGTATTTTAGCTTCTGAAGGTGCAGATAGATGGGCAGGATTGAGCTCTGATGTTGAGAGGAGCTGTACAATCTGCATTTTCCCTGCAGCTTCAGGATAATAAATTGAGGATGGTGGCCCAACTGATAATGTGCCCCAGAAATGCACAGGTACTTTTTGAAAATACACAAGGTTAATATCAATTGCGATAGGAGTTAGGTATCGAACCTGCTTAGCTGCCATTAGAAATCCCACTACGTGATTGTGCGTCTCTTCAGCAGTTAAGTCCCTTTGAAATTCTTGCTTTGGCCATTGCTTACAAAAACAGCAGAGTCTGAGGGTAATGGATATTTCTTTTGCAAAGTAGTTTACAAACTATTTCATGATTCCACTGTAAAAGTATCGAAGATCGTTATTCTCAGGCTCGTATCCACAAGCTTTATTTTGACATGTTTCCTGATGGGTGCCCGAGATAAATGACCTTCAACACCTTGTAGCAAGCCTCGTGCCCTGTGATGTCTGCTCCCTCGCACTGGAATCTGCTTTGCTTTCCCGCAGCACCCAGGAGGGAGGAGAGGGAGGCTGGAGCAGCACCTGGCTCCCTGACGGCAACCTTTGGTTCCCACTAGCAGGGTTTGTGACCACAAACAGGGACTTGATGTCCTGCTGCTCAGCACCCTTCTCAAGCCTGTCACTGGCTTTATAAAACTCTTTCCCAGGCTTTTCGGTGAGTGAACCATGAAGACCAGACAGAAGTTGGACGTGAGTCACTGGACTTTAAGTTATGCACAGGAAAGCTTTGAGACATGTTATATTAGTCAAGACATCAACTGTTTTCGCAGTGTTTATGATATCAGGAACATTTTTGTTCATGAATGTACTTGTTTGCTTAAAGTGAATAATTGATGCTTTGTGCCTAAAGAATGCTGTACATGCCTTTTTATAAGGGAGATGTTGCCAGTTTGAAAAGTTCACCTTGCAATGAATTCATAGATTTGGAAAGGCCAGGAAGAATATTTGATCATTTAGTCTGTTTCCCTATAAACACCTGTAATAATATCCTCAGTCTGACAGAGAGATAATTTCTATTAGTTGAAGTCCAGAGAGGCATCCCGTCTGCTACAAAGGACGGGGCTGGGCTCTCCATTTTTACTGCCACGCTTGTTCGGCGTCTATCTGCCCACAACTGAGCAGGCGGATGGAGGAGAGCTTCCATCCTTTGTTCAGATGTCGGTGCTATTGAGGGGCAGGATTTCAGAAATAGTCTGCTGTGGTTGCAGCTCTTTGTCTGGGACTTATGCCTGTATTTTTCACCGGCAGTAAGTTGCAGACAAGAGATGTTGCTGGGTAGATACGTGCCAACCTGTCTGAACTTGTAAAGCAAGTCATTAATTGTTGAACTGCTAGTACTTATGGTTTATTTGAACTGAGGGTACACCATCATAACCCTCCAAACTGGAGGCTCATCTGAGGTTTAACTGAAAATCAAGCCTTCAGCACATCCAATGGTCTCTTCACCCTCAAAGGAAAAAATCACCAGTCAATCTCAGCTTGGGCTTTCCAGCTTCTGTGCCTTGGTGCACTCAGGAGGTGCACGTTGCAGGGGGGGCACAGGCCAGGAAAATACCTGGTGTTTCAGATCCCAAAAGGCAATTCCAGCAATCTGCTGGGAGATCCCACTGCTCTTGTATGATCATAAGAGCACAGGGAGAGGGAAAACCATTTGGGTTTGTGTTGGCCATCGTACCTGCCGTGCTCTAGGGAGAGGAATCTACAAAGCCAAACGCGAGCAAAGGTTTTCTTGCCTGCGTGGGGGGGAGGGTTTGGCTTTGTTTTGCTCTTGTTGCTAACAACGTCAGATGGGTCTGACTTTCCAGCCCGCTCAGGATGAGACAAACAGCCAAGGAAGCATCAAAGTGAATGGGTGTTTTTTGATCAACATTGGAGAGAGTTTGTTTTCTTTCTCCACTTGCCCAGTGACACACTGACTTGGATGACTGGTCTGTGACAGAGCCGGATGGAAAATGTCAGTGGAAAAATGCAGAAAAAAAGCAAATATTTTTACAAATGTTAGGGACAATATTTTTACCTTTGGTCAATCCAAACCAATAGGAATATTTTTTCAGGACAAACTGTTCAAAACTCACTGTTGCCTGTGCCAAAATGTATGCAAAGGGTGAATATGCATGAACACTCATTAAAAAGTGTTCCTGTGGTGAATATGACGCAGTAAAATTGCATCTAATCTTGTAGCTGGAACATCTGTATAATTAGCAAGATTCCTCACCTTTTCCAGCCAGTGGTTCATGTATACGCCTGCCCTTTGCATACATGTTTTCCTTTAGGAATAAGAATTTGTGAAGGAGACAGTTTGCAGAAACACTGGATGCTCCGAGCAGTTGCATACCCATAACTATCCCCGGTGGGTACCTCGCAGCCCTCTCTAAACATAGTTTTAACAAACCTGTGGATGTATCATCTTAAAATTAAGATAATAAATGTCATCCTAACTCTGTCAGTAAGTTTCCTCCTAGTGGGCACCTACCTCGCTAATCAGGACCTGCAGGAGAACTTCCCTGGCATCTGATGAGGTAGGACATTTGCTCCAAGAACCGTTTTCTGGCCATTCCCTAATGCCCTGGCGTGCTGGCGAGGGCCCCTTCATCTGCCAGCGCACGTCTTCTGTCTGCTCTTCCCAACAGCGAAAAGACACCCCTGCAGGCTTGTACCTATATGAACTACTCAAGAAATACAGCAAAGGGAGGCTTCTATCTCTGGAAGGGCCTAAGATGGAATAAACTTAAATGCTTGTAGTAAGCAGGACATCTAATGGGCCCTATGCACATCTGTGGCTTGTTGCCTTCTCCTTTAAGAAAGCCTGGTTAAAATCTATAGTTTGAGTTACCATTGTTTGATAAAAATAGATTAATATTAGCATAGTCCTCACACCCTGCAAATATTTGTGTCATTAGAAATGCCAAGAGAACCATGAGTTTTGACCCATAAAATTGGAATTTCAGATGTGGAAGAAAACACACCAGTAGTTAAATACTTTTTACCATACGGCAAAGCCAGTAGAAATTCCCACCATTTAAAAACATTGATAAGGTTTTCTGTCATATTTTAATGGATCAAAAAATGCAAAACATTTTTTTCTGCATTTTTATTAGCTCTTATAAAAATATAAAGCCCCCCTTTTAAATCCCTAGTGCTTCTCTTTTCATAAACCTAAATTAGCGCTGTAGTATTATTACCCCATATTTATTAGCCCTAGAGAATAACTTCTGACTAGCATGTGACTGTAAATACCGTTCATCTAAATAAGTGCAATCTCACTTTTTTACATGTAAAAGAAACATGTGCAAATGAAACTAAGTGCCTTTGATAAATGGTTTGGGATTGCTGATTAATTGGAACTGAAAACAGATGAGAAAATTGAACATATGTTCTTATTCAAGTTCCCTGGAGGATTTGTCAGGGAGCTTGGCATACATTAATAATTGCTTGGAATGGATTTAATAGCTCATCTTGTAGTTTTGCACACACAAAACAATCAGTCAATATAAAAAGCATGGTGTCATCTGTCTTTGTTAATTAGGGATCCTGAACGCCTTCGGTAATAAAGTCTAGTAATTAAGCTACAATTAGGAAGGAAGCATTCGGATGTGGGATTGCCACCTCAGGATCCATAAGCGGCAGGAGGAAGAGCTCAGGCCTTCCAGAAACCTTGAAATACTCTGAGTTTCTGATCTCTTCCTGCGCCAGCACACAGCAAGGCTTGTTTGTTCCTCAGCTACCGGCGGCTCCCAGGGACAGGAGCGCCGGGGACACGGGGACGCTCCTTGGGGCACGCGGAGGCGCAGGGCACCTTCTCCCCGCGCCCTCGGTGGCCGGGCAGACGTGGCAGCTGCGTGCTGACTGCACCGGCACTGCGATTTTGCTGTACGACCCTGATGCCCCACTCGTCAGGCACGTTTGATGGCACCGGTATTTCTAAAAGTATCGGACATAACTTTTTGAAGGAATGTACTGAGCTTGCGCTTTCATGGGGGTTTGCCTGTGGGTCACTCACCTTCCCGGGTGCTCCTGGAGTACCTGGTAGACACTAATCTGGAACGTTTCGTTATCGAAGCGTTCGCGGATGTAATCCTTATATATTCTGAACTCGGCAGCCGTCACTGCTTCCCCCTCTGGGATTCTGGAGAGATCAAACCTGAACTCTCGGTAGTGGCAGCGCTGATGGTGAAACTCTCTGTCATGCTCCACTGAAACAGAAAAACAGCCCATTAGCCACCTGCTTTGTTCCCTTTCCCCTCGCCATCAAACAAGCTTGCGAGTTGCCACAACAGAAGAGGGCAAGAATATCTGATTACAGCATCTCATGCTGTTGTTTGGTTCATTAAACGTAGGAAATACATGACTCTATCTAGGCTATTATAAGCATATATGTGTTTATCGGACTCTCTTTGAAACAGTTTTACAGCTGGCTGGTACAGGGTGTGGGTGACCGTTGTGTTTTAATGATTTTTGGCAGCTTCATGCTTGAGAAGTGACTCTGGACATTTGCCACTGATAACGACCAAGCTGCTGCGGGAAGGAGCTGAAAGAAACAGATGGGGCTTTTCAGGAGTGCTGGTTCTTGGCCTGACCCTGCTTCTGAAAATTACACACGCACTCACACACCCGCACACATATATACACAAATTCCAGTCCTTGAGGCTTTTCATGCCAACGACCCACATTCAGTGCCAGCTGAATTCATCACAGATTCACAGCCTTGCTCCAAAGGGCCAAAGCTTTCATTTCTAAGCATCTTTAGTGATCAGGGCTGTGATGCAAACGTTCAAAATGAGGACTTTTTCCAACTCCCAACTCTGACTGTGAAATAACAAGAAGTGCCAGAGTCCCCCCAAGACAGTGTACCCCACCGAGTGAAGGTCTGCCTGTCGTCTGACGGACAGCTGATGGTCTCGTGTAACACTGCTCGTGGAGACCGAAGCCAAGGGTCAGTGAAGTGAGGAAACAGAGATTTTGAGACTGTCCTCCAGCATGGGGGAAGAGAGGTGTCAGTGCCCCAGGCCAGCACATGAAGCGAAGTCGCCCTTCTTGGAACAAATTCCAAATTAAATAGACAAGTCGGACAAAGGGAAATGGGGAAACAGAGGTATAAGGGATGAACTGGCTCGCCAGAGGTCACACTGCGTGACATTTTAAGAGCAGAGGCTTGAACCAGGGACTTCCCGTATGTCCCAGTCCCATCGTCTGTCCACTTGACCTCCCTGCAGCTCGACTGCACAATTCAAGTAGTTAGCTCTGAGATTTTCTTGGCAAAGAATGTGTGTCTTTCTACAGGCCTGATTCTCTTCTGGCAGCAGTAAATCCATTGTGTAAATCCATTGACTTAAATGGAATTACTCCTGAAAAAGAGAAGTTTCAAGCCCGAGTCTGGACAGTGCTATTCAAGTCCACAGCGCTGCACGGTACGATTGTCTATCGGCACCGGCGGGGCCTCCCCTGCGGCAGGGACGGGGCGCGGGGAGCCCCTGGGAACCGGGCTGCGTCCGAGCGCTTCCACAGAGCAGGTTCTGCGCTGCTTTGCTGGCCAAGCGTCGGCAGCTGGCCATGGGCTCTTCCTCCTCTCGCACATTACTTCTGCAAGGAGCCCAGGGCTCGCCATTTGCCACTGTATGATTGCTGTTCAGGGAAATACTTCAGAGCTCTTACTAATAGCTGAGATTCATCTTAGAGGAGTTTTTTAGGTATGAAACCCCTAAACTTTTCAAGACAACGACGATTAAGTTCAGCAAATGGTTTTATATGTTGAGCAGTCTTTGCATGTGCTGAATGAACGATGTCATACTTGCGCGTCTAGCTATAACATCTCGTACAGCCTCAGGAAGATCACTCAGTCTCCCATACCCTGGAGTGGGGGAATATTGTGAATATTCACCAGTGTTTGTAAAACACTTGGCAGGCTAAAACTGCCCCGTAAGTGCTAGCAACACTATTAAATGTGCCTCAATCCCTTTCCTCCGAAGTATTCTCAGCAGAATGAGGTATAAAGAGCATGACTTCAGTCTCAAAGGAATTTGTCTGCGCCTAAATTATAGAGGGGAGGAAAAAATATTTTAATATGGAATAGCTCCTTTAACCACAACTATAGAAGAATGAATATAATGTTGTGTGGTTTTAGTTACATTACGGATAACATCACCAGCAGGGTGTATTATAGAGAGGTCTAGCAGTAGGATGTACCAACACGATTTGCTTCCAAAGATGTGGGAAGGCTGAATTTTCAAAGGAAGGTGGGTGCACCTTTTCAGTGTACATATGTGATGACAACTACATCGGCCAACACCAGTCTTTGGCTGCGCTTCATACACAAAGTCTGACAACAAACACATGAAGATGAAACTTTTTTGGGCGCTGCTAGAGTTCACAGTGATTCCCACTGCAGAGCCCTAGAAAAAATGTGTCATATTAGTATGAAAAATTAACGGCCAGGGTCATAAAATAAAAAGCCCCGAAGTCTGAACTTTCCCATGCTTTGCAGATGTTTGGATATAGGGTTTTGGCCTGAGCCATCTTTAGTGTTAAAGCAAACATTCCTGTGGCTATAGTCATTAAGATCATGAAAATATGTGGATATGTAACTGAAGAAAGAATCCCAAGAAACCTTTCAACTCAGTGTTTATTGTTTTTCCCCTTTTTCTTTGCACTCTGGACCTATCTGCTGACCCAGAAGTAACAAATCCTATCAGAACTAATTTATGAGAAACACTGACCCTGAATCAACATCTGTTAGATGACTGCAGTAAATCTTATTACATAATTAAACACCAAAATCTATTTTAAAATAACGTTAAGGGTCTGACTTGAACTCATAAAAGCAAGACTCTTCATTATGAAGGCTGAAATCCTATCCTTAATTCATGCTGCTGCGTGTTGGTATTTGTGAACATATGGTACAGTATATATGATCGTGCACTTTTTGTAGACCCCAGTAATACCTTAAGCGTAACAGCACGAGGTAAGCAGGGGAGCGCTGAGTTTCCTGGGTTTGATGGGTGTTAGTCAGACCTTTGACAATACTGCAATGGGTCGTTTCCAATTAATTACCTGAGGAGTTTGAACTGGGGGTGTGTGTGTGTGTGTTTAAAAAAAAAAGAAGAGGGGGGCTGTGGTGTGGTATTTTAAGTGTTTGCCGAAAGAGCCGAGAGAATTGCTACAGCTCTTTGAATACGACTGTAGTTTTGCCATTAGATCTATAAAATGACACAGCCTACCATAATGAGAAGCTTTTGGTCATTCTTGAAGGACTTAATCTCAGCTGTTTGTCAGCCATTATGTGTTAAATGCTCCCTTAAAAGTCATCAAGCAATATGAATATTCTCTGGGTATACTTAATAGCCCTTCTGCCCAAAGAACTTGAACTCATGTCTGTCCCAGGTTCATAGTTCTTAAAATCGCTACTACCCAAAGGCTTTTGGTGGATGGTTTTAGCCCAGTTCCTAATTTCAAACGTTGGAAATTCCAGCTCAGAAACTGCCACAATTCGAATGCCTTGTCAAGGCAGCTGCTCGGAGAGGAAGCCAAAGCGCTGGATGTGTAGTCAAAGGTTGTAAAACGTGAAAAGCAAGAACACCCTTAAAAAATAATTCTGCTACGAAACAGACTGTGTGCCTTAGCTGTGGGAAAACGGTGGATTTCCTCTCCTAAAAAAACAATCCAAAGTCGCTCACAGGTGATGCATGTGTAAATGCACACCCCTCCTCATTTCTAGAAGTGGTATCGCATTTTGGAGGCATAACCACTGTAGACAAATTATGACCTAATTTAACACATGGCTCCGAATCTGCTGGTACAAAATAACACTTGGGCTTGATGAGTGTGGCAGTTAATCGTAGCTATGGTAGATGGGGATCATCAGACACTCCTTTTGGCATAGTCCTTTGGGAAAAGAAAGGTCGAGATGATGGGACTTGAGAGCTGTAGGATGGAGGCAAACAGATTCATGAGAAAATAAGCAAGGTGCCAAAAAGTGTGCAGGACAATTAAGGTGATCCAACCAAAACAAGCACATATCTTAGGTTGGTGGTTATCAGTAAATTTGCCACACCTCTTTTGCAAATATGCAAGTAGGCTCAGCATCTTTGAAAGTCTGGCCTTGACTATCTGTCCACAATCTGAATGCTGCACAGACTGCATTCGTCTATCTGATACAGATAAGGCTCTGATCTCTCTGAAGTCTTTGTCTCTCCAAACCGGCTCTGTTGTGGCGCTGTGGTGATGCAAGAGGATGCAGGAGGGCACAAGTTGTGCAACAACAGGGATGGTTAAAAGAAAACAGTATGGATATATGTGCTCAGGTGTGAAGTAGCCAGGTATCAGATCCAAAGATACAGGAAAGCTGGAGATAAAATGTCAACAAATCCCTGGTACTTGTCTTGACATGTCCTAATGTGTACTCTTCAGATACAAAACTTGAAAACATTAAGATGCAGGGATGAAAAAGTGTAGTTGTTGACATCTAGAACTCGGAGCAATACAGTTGAAACCAGTACCAAAAAAGTAATGTTGGACAGAAAAGCTTGTGATCCTGGTTTAACACCCCAGGGTGCCCAAACTTTTGCCCAGAGCAAATGACGCATCAGCAAAAAGCTGAGAAACCAGAACTGATCCCATGTTCGGTCATTTTCACAGCAAAATATGTTGAGACCAGAAATAAGAACCCCAGCTATTTTCAGCTTCTTTGTAAATCACTATTGGTAAGTGAAAAGCTGACCTGAGCTGATTCTGTAAACACTGGTTGGACCACTGGTTTTGTAATACAGATTGATGGTAGGCAAGGCACGATACATGACAGCAAAGATTATGCTCAGACGTAGCTTGCAGTGGTTATTATTTCTCTCTACGCACACCAAAGAAACCAAACCGTTTTAGCCCCGGTACCGAGCGCAGTAGCACAATATCAATCACTAACTCCATGTGTCAAGCAAAGAAGCAGTGTATCACAGCAATTATTTTCCAAGAATGACTGTGTTAAAAAATAATTATTACAGAAGCATTAAAGAGCTAATCCAGACCCCAGGGAAGTCAACAGAAATATTTCCATTCATTTCAATGGATTTCATGAGGGGCCTTCCTTTTGCCAATCTACCTACCTATGTATTTTTACGCTCTTCTTTTCTGAAGATGTAAAAAAATCTCTTTTTCACAAGCAAAGTAAACACCAGATGAATAGATTCTGTGCTCAGGCTGCCAA